CCACCAGCCTTCTGGTTAGCAGTCAAGTGCCTTAGGCACTATGCTACCAGAGCTCCCACGGCAGTGAGGTTTTTTTTTTTTTTTTTTTTATGTTTTTTTTTCAACTTTAAAGGAGAAGCTCTGGTGGTGTGATGCCTAAGGCATTTGACTGCTAACCAGAAGGTTGGAGGTTCAAACCCACCGGACACTCTTTGGAAGGAAGATGGGGCAATCTACTTCTGTAAAGATTTACCACCTTGGAAACCCAAATGGGGGTGGCTATGAGTCAGAATCGACTTGATGGCAGTGGGTTTGGTTTTTGGTTTTTTAACTTTAAAGGAGCTCTGGTCGCCCAGTGGTTAAGGCATTTGGTGAAGCTGATTGTGATGAAGAACTTGTTTCAAGTAGGGGTTGTTTCCATAGGAGTTCATTTCAAAGTGAGAGTACATTTACATAAATTAAAGGGCAAGTAGGAGTTGTCAGTAAGCTGGGTGTTCTAACTGGGGACTCCCTGTAATTAGAACAGAGCTCAAAGTTTCAAAAGCATGTTGATATCTAACAACTCATTAGACTTTTGCTGGGAGATGCTCTTAGCTTCTAGCCCTGCTCAACAGGTGAGGGGACTAGTTCAGAAAAGTTAAGTGACTTATCCAACGTCACCACAGTGGTGAGCCAAAGAGCTCACAGATGCAACAGATTTGCATCTATTATTTATCGGGTGGTGTTCTATGACTAATGCAGTTTGATTTTTTGAGATTCTACATAAACTGCTTGCCATATTGAAGATGTATAAGCAAAATACATCTTTATCTTACAAGGACTAAATTGAAGACTGTAGGTTCCAGATTTTCTCAATGCCAGCCTTTCACCTAAGCCTCTTTCTAGCAATGGTTCTTTTTGGGGGATGTGGTAGTTATGCCTGTGTGTCAACTTGGCTGGGCCTGGTTGATTGGCTGGGCAGCTGGTGGTAGTTATTCCCCATGATGAGGCTGGCCATCAACTCCATGGTGGGATCTACCACAAGCAGCTGAGTAGCTCCCATTGGAATGTGGTCTGCTTCCTATATATAAAGAGAAGCCTTGGGAACGATCTCTAGCCTATGGCACGCTTGGACCCTGCATGTAGCTGTGTCATTGCTCAGCAGCCTGCTATGCTCTGCTGACCTTGTGACTTATGATGGACTTAAGTTATTGGCCTGCCGTGTGGATTGGTAACATCGGGACTGTGCCTTTTTACTTGTCAACCTTGGGACTTCTCAGCCTCAGTGGCCAGCAGCTGTCTGAGTGAGGAAATGCCTCTGGCTCCAGTGGGCCGGGAGCAGGAGGCAGAGCTGGACTCCAAGGTTGAGGGGCTTTCACCTAGCCCCTAGAGCCTGGCACTTTGAACTTGGACTTAAAACCTCCAAACTGTAAGAGAATAAACTCCTGTTTGTTAGGGCCATCCCATTTGTGGTATATTCTTGTCAGAGTGGCACTAGGTAAACAGAATAGGGGAAGAGGAGGTTTCTGGGTAACATATCCCTTGAACTCACTTTTAGTTCCACTGACATTCAAAACATAAGTTTCTTACAAGCATGTGGTAGTTAAGGTTGTATGTCAACTTGGCTGGGCCTGGTTGAGTGGCTAGGCAGCTGGATGTAGTTATTCCCCATTAAGAGATTGGTCATCAACTCCATGGTGGAATCTACTGTGAGCAGCTGAGTAGCTGCCTTAGGGATGTGATCTGCTTCTTGCATACAAGGAGAAGCCTTGGAAATGGTCTCTAGCTTCTTGGTACACTGGAACCCTGCATGTCGCTGAGTCTTCATTCAGTAGACTGTCATGCTCTGCTGATCCTGGGACTTTCAAGGGACTTGAATTAATGGCCTGCCATGTGGTTTGGTAACATCAGGACTGTGCCTTTTTCTTTGCCAACTTTGGACTTGTTAGCCTCAGCAACCAGCAGCTGCCTGAGTGAAGAAAGCCTCTAGGTTGAGTGGGCCGGGGAGCAGGAGGCAGAGCTGGACCCCAAGGTAGAGGGGCTTTTACCCAGCGCCTAGAGCCTGCCACCTTGAACTCGGACTTCCAGCCTGCAGAACGGTAAGAGAATAAACTCCTGTTTGTTAAAGTATCCCATTTGTGGTATTTCTGTTAGAGCGGCACTTTGTTGTTGTTGTTGTTTGCCGTCAAGTTGGACCTGACTCATAGCGACTCTTCCTTGGGTTTCCCAGGTGGTATCACTACGGAAGTAGATTGCCCCATCTTCCTTCCAAGGAGTGGCTGGTGGGTTTGAACCGCCAGCCTTCTGGTTAGCAGTCAAGTGCCTTAGGCACTATGCTGTAGAGCGGCACTAGGTAACCAAAACAAGCTTATTATTCTGATGCTCCAGTTTAATTTTTAGATTTTATCTTCTCAAACACAAAGGGGAAAAATGGTTTATGCTACTCAAACTTTCTCAAAGGATGGTAAAAAATAGTGTAACCTGGCTTGTTGGGTTAGCATTACCAGAATCTATGTTCAAAGGCGTATATGCATGAGTATGTATGTGTATTGTATACTTATGTACATATATGCATAGCTGTGTGTGTGTTTGTGTGTGCAAGTGATTTCTACAGGCCAAGTTCTGCTCAGGCATTGACAAATGGGATCTCATTTAATGCTCATTGCAGCCCTGGTGGGAGGTACAATTCTCTCTATCTGGTATTTCTGATAGTTGGGAGCCCTGGTGGTGCAGTGGTAAAGTGCTGGCTGCTAATGAAAGGTTGGGAGTTCAAATCCACCAGCCATTCCATGGGAGAAAGATACGAAGTCTGCTTTTGTAAAGATTACAGTCTTGGAAACCTTGTGGGGCAGCTTTACTCCATTGCACAGGGTCGCTATGAGTCAGAATTGACTCAACAGAGGTGGGGTTTTTTGTTTGTTTGTTTGTTTATTCTGATTCTTGAGCTCTTTTCTCTCCACCTATCATGAGTAAAGACTTTTCCAGGCAGAACTTACTAGTAGCCTCATTCATTCAAAACCCAACTATAAAAGAATGATCTTGAAAGAATATAAAAGGGGGGTTGTGGAAGCATAGAAACTATAATTACATGGTTCACTGTGTGTTATCCACCACTGTCCATCAGTGTGTTGTACTGTGGTGGCTTATGTGTTGCTATGAGTCTGGAAGCTAGGCCACTGGTATTTCAAATATCAGCAGGGTCACCCGGGGTGGTCAGGTTTCAGTGGAGCTTCCGGACTAAGAGTAGGAAGAAAAGCCTGATGAGCTACTTCTGAAAATTAGGCAATGATAACTGTACGCATGACAGCAGAATTTTGTCGGATAGAGAGCCGGACGATGAGCCCCCAGGTCAGAAGGCACTCGCAGTGCACAATGACCACAACAGTGCACTTGAGCACAGTAACAATAGCAAAGATGGTGTAGGGCCGGGCAGCAGTTTGTTCTGTGTGCAAGTGTCGCCACGAGCTGGAACTGACATGATGACAGCGAACAACAACACAGCATCTGTTATGGTTTTCATCTCACAAAGGCAGTGGGACTCCTTCGTAATGAGAACTAAAGGTGGTACAGAGACAGAAACCTCAGTCTGGGAGTTAAAGCCTTCGTTCTAACCCTAGTGGTGCCACAACTGAAAACAGACTACAACACAGTACAGTACAGTAGCTGCACTACAACTCTATGCAGTTTCCAAAGTTCTCTCATGAAATCCTCACAACAACCCTATGAAGGAGATAATATTTTGCTCATTTTATACATGGAGAAACTGAAGCCAGAGAGATGGTGTCATTTTCTCACGGTTATGCATCAGAAGGTAGTGGTGCTGGAATTCAAACCAGGTTTTAAAAATAATATTTTATTGTGTTTCAGTGAAGGTTTACATAGTTATTTAGGTAGTATAATTGGTAGAAATTATCATTCAGTAATTTCTACACAAGGTGTTCACTGACTTTGGTTACATTTTTTACAATGTGTAAACATTCTCCTTTCCATTCTGGTTGTTCTGTTTCCATTAATCTAGTTTCCTTGCCTCCTTGCAAGGAGCTCTGGTGGGGCAGTGATTAAAACAGTTGGCTGCTAACCAAAAGGTTGGCTGTTTGAACCCACCAGCTGCTCTGCAGAAGAAAGATGAGTCAATCTGCCACCATAAAGATTTTCAGCCTCAGAAACCCTAAGGCGTGGTTTCACTCTGTTGCTATGTGTTGAAATTGACTTGATGGCAGTGGGTTTGGTTTCTTTGATTTTGCCCCCTTACATTCTCATCTTTGTTTTAAAGTAATTGTTGATTGTTTGGTCTCGTATATGGCCTTTTTTTTTTTTTTTTTAAAAGGAGCATAGTACTAATGTGTGATATTCATTAATTTTTGAGCCAATTTGTTATTTAGCTACAAAGCAACTTCAGGGGCTAGTTTGGTTTAAAGTTTGAAGAGGATCTCAGGGCAACTGTCTAAGGAGTTGTCCAGTCTCAACCAGTCCAGCAGACCTGTTCCCCAACCCCCCTCCAAACACAGATCTCTAAATTCCAGTATGCCCCTCTTTCCATTATATAAGCTGCTTCAGTCTCAGGAGTTCTCACACAAATATTTTTATTCACAGACATTTTCAAAGCCAGAGTCCAGGAAATACCCCTACTATACTTTCTCTAGCCTTGTTGCACCACTAATAGGTAATATTTCATAAATGAGGAAACAGGCACATACATTAAAGGTCAAACCCCTGTAATCTCAATGGACATTTGTTTTCCTAGTGACAGTGGTTTCCTTCTCCTACACACTGACCATTTAAGACCACATTTTCAGGCCCAGGTCAATATTCCAAAGTGTTCTAAAGGCTGTTATAAAGGAAATGGTTGTTGAGTGATTCACTGGTTGAACAAAGATTTATTCAGTATCTACTATGTTCCTTGCATTCTGCTGTGTTACATGGGGTAGAAAGTGGATAAAAGGCCAAATAAGACATGTTTCTTACCCTTCAAAGTACTTATAGCATTGACTGGCCACCATTTTGACACGTGGGAAAGATGATATGAAATTGAAAAGACTTACTTGGTTTGGCCTGGCGTGATGGTGGTACAGTTTGCATTCCTATGGCAGGGGTTATTTGACTCACAGATATTGGTCATACTGCACCCCACTCCAGGTACAAAATCACGGTAATGTTCCTTACACTCACAGTGAGACTTTAGGCAACAGAAGGAGAAAAACAAACAGGTCTTCAGTTAGTCACTTAGCTGATATTCATCTTTAATCTATATTTTTATTCTGTCATAAAAACTAACTCAAATAGGTCTGAAATGTGGGTTTACCCTCAAGTGTCAAAGTATCCCAAGTGGAAATCGTATTGGGATATCTCACCTGCTGGGAAGCTCATACATTTTGTTTTCAAAGATTAGCTTTTCAGATTTCTTGTTTGCTAACCCTTGGCCTCTCCGGCTCCAGAATTCTTAGTTTTAGATTGTCTACAGGTGAACAGAGATTGAGGTTCAGATGGATGTATTATTGATCTAGAACAGTGGCTTTCCACCAGGGGTCTTAACCCAGAGGACACTGGGTGATGTCTGCAGACATGTTTGATTGTTACAACTGGAGGGGTGTGGTACTACCAGCATCTACTGGCTAGAAGCCAGGGATGCTGCTCAACATCCTATGATGTGCAGGACAGCTCTCCACAACAAAGAATTGTCTGACCCAAACTGTCCATAGTACCAAGGATGGGAAACCTACTCTGGAATATGCAATGCATTGCTTCTGAGTGAACCATGGAAGCTTCCTAGGCCTTGAAAATCTGCCTTTGGACATCACCCCACTTTTTTCTTTTTTTAAAAAAATATATATTAAAAGATATTTTAATCTCATTCCCAAGGTCTTAGGAGTTGGGAAGTAAAATGAACTTTCCCACAAGGACATCTTGAGGATTTTGAGAATGGGAATTCAGCCCCTTGAATTTCTCTGCAAACCTGCCTCAGGGGTTGACAGTGGAAATGTTGCATGATATACCCTTTTTCTTGGAGGTGACATTGAGCTGATTCTCTGTAGGGGCTGCAGTAATGTTCTCCTGGGGTGCTGATTAAAATTCAGGGAACAAATGAGTGTGTTTGGGTTGGTCACTAAAGCCCTACCCACATAGCAATACCCTGCTGTAAGGCAGATTTCTTCTACACAAGACTCAATGTGGTTATGGATGCAGTAGGCACCCAGTAAGTATTTGATGGGCAAATAAGATATTAGGGAAAGGACTCTTTCAACTGGATGCCTCAGGAAAAGTCCCCCAACCAGGCTGATTTTTTTTCCCTGTATGCAGCAGTAAGTTAGGGTAAGCAGTCCAGGTCATGATGTGACTTGCAAGGGCAGAGTCTCATCCCAGAATATCCCTACAGTCTGTCAGTGCTGTCTGACATTTTGTCAGTTTTCATCCTTTTGGCTCAGGGTATCTTTGGTTCTAAGCATACCCTTTTGTCTTGGGAAGAAATAAAAGAGGATGGAGGATTGTAGGTGAAAGCCAATCATGTATTAACCCATGATGTGGTTATGCATTAATTTGCCAACTCATTTTAGATTATTTGTATATTTTGGATTGGTTGTATATTTTGTCAATCTCCTTATAGGACTGTGATAGAAGAGAACATAGGATAGTTATGTTCTCACTGGGAAGCTGTGAAAGTATGAGTTCTGAGGAGGGACTAGGATAGAGGCACATTGAAGTCTGGGAGACCCCTGAGTACATGGGGAGCCATGAGCATCTGGAGAGGAAGCCAAAGTTGAGCACTGAAAGGGAGCAATGGGAGGGCAATTATACCTCTGGCATAATATTAGCATCAGTGGCTGTCCTATTCTTCTAGCCACGTCAGTTGCATGCAGCATTAACTCACCTGTCCGGGCTCATCGTATTTGCACACTGTTGACTTTGTTGGGCAGTTTCCAAAGTTCACTTGGCAGGGATCTGTTGGTAAGCACACTTGGCCATCCCCGTGGTAGCCTTCTTCACATGTACAACTGTGCTGATTTGGTCCCAGGTAGGTACAGCGAGCATGAGGGTGACAGATGTTTTGTGAACATGGATTGATGGCTTGAGAGGCAAGGATAAAACAAGAGGCAGTTATCATACTCAGGGATGGAGAGGAAAAGCTGAGCTATGAAGGCACAGAGAATCACAGCTCATGAAGCCACAAATGCAATGCAACAGTTTTATGAGATAGAGTAAGAAACTTTTCTTTTTTCACCCAACTTGACTACTCCCACCTCCCCAAACAGGTTTATGTGTGGTCATCACTACTTACCAAAAGTTGGAAGTTCAAACCCACCCAGAGGCCCCTTTGGAAGTAAGGCCTGGTAATGTGCTGAAAGGTCGCAGCCTTGAAACCCTATGGAGCACAATTCTACTCTGCATACGAGGTGGCCATACATCGGAGTCAACTCTAGGGCAACTAACAACATTGGAAACGAGAACGGCAAATATTGTGCTGACATATTAATTATTCATGCTTTATGTAGGATTAAAGGAGCTGTGGTGGTGCAGTGCCTAAGGCATTTGACTGCTAACCAGAATA